GTATATATTCGTTTTCAAAATTTTTAAATTATTCTTAACGATAATAAGAAATATTCTAATCTCCTCCCTCCAAAAAAAAAAATCGTTAAACACTGAACTTTATTGTTTATTTGTTACGCGTCGATGATATATATAAAAGATTCCATTCCAATTATTCAATAAATTTAAATGGAAATTATTTCGTCATTTTATATATGCGTTTTTAAAATTTTTAAATTATTCTTAACGATAATAAGAAATATTCTAATCTCTTCCCTCCCCTTCTCAAAAAAAAAAATCGTTAAACACCGAACTTTATCGTTTATTTGTTATACGTCGATGATATATATAAAAGATTCCATTCCAATTATTCAATAAATTTAAATGGAAATTATTTCGTCATTTTATATATGCGTTTTTAAAATTTTTAAATTATTCTTAACGATAATAAGAAATATTCTAATCTCTTCCCTCCCCTTCTCCAAAAAAAAAATCGTTAAACACCGAACGAAATAGTTTTAAATAGTTATGAAAATAACGAAACCGACTCTTCTCTTTTTAATCCTTCCCCGTTTCCATCCAAAATTTCAATTTCCTCCAAGAATTTAATCTAACGAAACTCGTCGATGCTCCACCTGCATTTCACCCCCCTCCCAACTCCCATATCCGATACAAAATCCACCACCTAAATTTCCATTCATCGCGAGAAAGAATTCAAACTTGACCTTTGAACACTGTTAATCCAGAATTTCCATCCATCCATGCAATATTAACTCCATAAAAATAACACAATAAACGATTAAAAACCGAATGAAATTCCTTTACAGAAATTAACCCTTTTATTCCCACGTTTTATAAAACGATTGAAAAACTTGGTGAAAACTTCAGTGCAAAAATTAACACTTTTCCACAACAATCAAAACCAAGAAATAATTCACTTCGAACCATAATCCGCGACGGAGAAAAAAATTCGAATTCTCCCAAAAAACCAAACCAAATTTTTCCCAAATCGAGTCGGTCGAAAAAAAAAAAAGAAAAAAAAAAGAAGAAGAGAAGAAAAACGCGCAGCGCATCCGTGAAACGTCCGAGAGAGAGGAAATTCAACTGCGAAGCAAATTCACCTAAAAGGTGAGGAGAGAGACCCTCGGCCATCAGCCGGATGCCTATTCAAATTTTACGGCCCATATTTGTCGCGATTAACTATCGCGTTTTCGGGCTTATGGGGCCAGAAGTATTCCATATTGGGCAAGGGAAGGATCGTTCGGCCGGCCGTCTCGCGGAATAAAGATA